GGATTTTGGCGCTATGTGCTCAGAATTTCCCCGAGTTTTCGATGGCACCCTGGGGCGGTTTTCTAGGGCCCCTTTTTCACTGGACCTTGACCTGGCTGTCCGCCCTATCCGCATTAAGGCCAGGCTACCGCCGATTGCAATGAAGCCTAAGATTGAGGCTGAGCTGGATCGCCTGGTGGAACAAGGGTTTCTGGAACCAGTCACGTCTGCACGATGGGAAACCCCTATAGTCACCCCGGTGAAACCGAACGGGGACGTGCAGACTTACAAATGCACACTTAATAAGGCTCTTCAGGCACACACGTATCCCGTGCTGGTAGTGACCCATGTGCTGGCCGCTTTAGCAGGGACCCAGGTCTTTGGCAAGTTGGACTTGGCCCAGGTGTATCAGCAATTGCCAGTTGATGCCGCCACGGCTGAGGCGCAAATGATCACGACGCACCAGGGGGCTTTCAAGGTGCACCGCCTCCAGTTCGGAGTATCGGTCACGCCGGGAATTTTTCAGTCTTTTATGGATTCACTCCTGAAAGGTATCCCCGGAGTTCAGCCGTTTTTAGACGATGTGCTGATCACCGCCCCGGACAACTTGTCTTTCGCTGACCATGTGTGGGCTGTGCTGCACCGCTTCAATACGGCCGGGCTCAAGGTCAAGCGAGAGAAGTGCCTACTGGGGGTCCCTTGCGTCGAGTTCCTGGGCTTCACAGTTGACGCCTCCGGCATCCACCCCACCGCGGACAAGGTGAAAGCCATCACACACGCACCGCCGCCACAGTCCAAGTCAGAGCTACAGGCCTTTCTGGGGCTCCTGAACTTTTATCATTTCTTCTTGCCCCTCAAGGCTGTGGTTGCAGAACTGCTCCACTGCCTCCTGGACAAGTCGGCACCTTGGGTCTGGGGTCCACCGCAGGCGGCAGTGTTCCAAGCTGTCAAGGACCTGCTCGTGTCTAATTCGGTCCTGGCACATTTCAATGAGGCCCTCCCTGTGGTGCTGGCCTGTGAAGCTTCGCCTTACGGGGTCGGGGCGGTCCTGGGCCACTGGCTGCCGGACAGCCGTGAGGTCCCGGTTGCCTATTATTCATGAACTCTTTCTCCGGCTGAGCACAACTACGTGCAAATAGATAAAAAGGCGCTGGCTATTGTAGCGGGGGTGAAGAAATTTCACCACTATCTGTATGAGCGCCCGTTCACAGTCCTCACGGATCACAAGCCGCTGCTTGGCATCCTGGCCCCCTACCGCCAGACCCCTCAGATGATTTCTCCCCGAGTGCTCCACTGGTCTATTTTCATGGCTGGGTACTCCTACACCCTCGTTCACTGCCCGGGGAAGGTGATGGGCCATGCTGACACCCTGAGCCGCCCGCCACTGCCAGTCTGCGACCCGGATCCGGCCCCGCTCACCAGATCGCGCTTCTGGAGTCCCTCACGGATCAACTGGTCCACGTCAAGGAGGTGGCTCGCTGCAACTCCAAGGACAAGGTACTCTGCTGGGTCTTAGACTGGGTGGTGAGGGGGTGGCCCGTGGCCAAAGGGAATCCAGACTGTACTCCCTTTGCTTCCCGGAAGGATGAACTGTCCATCCACAAAGGCTGTGTGCTGTGGGGAAGCAGAGTGGTCATCCCTAAGCCCTTATGGGAATGGGTCCTCACTGCCCTTCACGATGCACACCCCGGGGTGATGCGCATGAAAGCCTTGGTCCGTAGCTATGTCTGGTGGCCTGGGCTGGACAAGGACATAGAGGACGTGGTTAAGAGGTGCCAACCATGCCAAGCATCCCGGCCGGAACCACTGTGAGCCCTGGAAAGGGCCAGGGAATCTTCCCACCACCCCTGGTCCAGGTTACACTTGGACTTTGCTGGACCCTTCCAGGGGCAGCTTTTCTTTATACTCATAGATTCCTACAGTAAATGGCTGTAGGTAGTGCCAGTACCTTCCACTTCATCAAAGGCGGCCATCCGGGCAGTGTGGCAAATATTCAGTGCCCAGGGGATCCCCAATACGCTGGTCACGGACAATGGAATGGCATTCACATAGAGTGAGTTCCAGGACTTCACAAGATACTACAGAATCCGCCACATCCAATCTGCCCCGTTTCACCCCGCAACCAACGGCCAGGCTGAACGCATGGTCCGGACAACGAAGGATGACCTCTGTCGCCTGGACTCCTCGGACTGGGACTATAAGCTGGCAGCTTTCCTTTTCGGCCAGCGAACTACGCCCCACACCACTACGGGGCACAGTCCGGCGGAGCTACTTCTCGGCCGTCGCCTGATGACCCGACTGGACCGCCTGCACCCAGACCGCGCACCAGAAGAAGCTCCGGCCACGGAGTCCCACGAGGTGGCCAGGGGATTCTTCCCGGAGGATTCCGTATACGCAAGGAACTACACCCGGGGGCCAGCCTGGATACCGGCTCGAGTAGTGAGAGTTAAGGGCCCGAGGTCTTACGAGGTTGCATGCGAAGACGGACAGATACTGCATCAACACATCGATCAGTTACGCCGCCGAACCTTGTCTCTGGAACCCGAGGACTTGGACCTTGCAGAAGCCCCAGATACCTCAGCCCTTCTCCCACCGGGACCTGCCGATTCTGTGCCTCCTCCCGGGAGCATGCCCGAGGACCCACTTCCAGCAACACCGGTAACACTGGCACAAGAAACCACGGCGCGCCACCCCCCCTCCCGACAGCCCTCTGCCGAGGACGTCACGGGCAATGTTCCCTCTAAGCTGTGGAGTCCTGTGAGCAAAAAATCTACTAGGTGAGCTACTGGCATTAAAGTTGTGAGCGAGCGATTTGGCTACTGCATAAATCAGTTTGCTCTGGAACCCTCCTTCCTGAGCGAAGACAAGAATGTGTGAGCCGGAGGCTAAAAAACGGTGAGCTAGCTCACACTAACTCAGCTTAGAGGGAACACTGGTCACGGGAGGTGCCAACCACTGTTCCCGAGCTTCACCACTCCTCCCGCACCCGAAAGGCACCGGCTCATTTAAAAGATTTTATCTGTGGGTGCATTGCAGACCAAGGGGGGAGGGGTGTAATGTATCAAGTTCTGACCGCAAGGTCAGCTTGGGCACCACGCAGTCAAGAGCAAGCGTCGAGCTTCACTCCGATAAACAAAGGACGATGCGGATCCTAGCCCGCACCAACCAGCGGATCCTAGCCCGCACCAACCAGAGAGCCTATGGGACTCGTGGCCACTAGTTAGGACCTATTGGGAAGTGGGGGGTGTGTGTTCTCGGTGGTGGATTTATGGGGATATAAGCCGGCCTGCGAGCCGGCTAGGGTTGTCTTGTTCTTGATCTAATAAAGTACGCTAAGCTGAAATCACTCGTCAGTCTGCGTACTTTTCACCTACACTTAGAACTTATTTCTCGATAATTTTTAAATAGGGCAGGCTAGCTCAGTGAGGTCTCAGAAGCTAAGCAAGGTTGTCCATGGTTAGTACTCAGATGGGAGACCGCCAAGGAATTCCAGGGCTGCTATGCAGAGGCAGGCAACAGAGGGAAACCACCTCTGTTCATCTCTTGCCATGAAAGCCCTCTTAGGTCAATGTAAATTGGCTGGGACTTGGCAGCACTTTCCATCACCAGTTTTACCTGAAGTTGCCCCTGGGAGGTCATAAAAACCCTGCATCTAGGTTCAGCTCTATCTTACTTTCATTTGCCTGGCCTTCTCCCCATTGTCCCTGGCCAGGCAAGCAAGATGGGAGTCCCTAGGTAAAGGTTTAGCCCTTCATGGCTTGTGCCCCCTAAGTGAAAAGCAAGATGCAATGGGTTTCTCAGTGTCCTGAGAATTTATAATCTTCCCTTGGGAGAGTCAATTGACCCCAAGGTAATGTAGATCTTCCTGCCTCAAGAGGAAGAGAATACATTCTAGCTATTTGGCTGTCCGTTTGGAATGAACCTCGGACCTTCTCTCTGACCATTTGGTGTCACCTTCCAGCAGAGTGTGAGGTTGTAAACTATTGTCCTGCTACAGCCAGAGTTATTAGCATAAGCCTGTGCTTGAGTGCTCTCTGCCACCACCCTAGGGGGCAGTGTCTCTGCTAGGAGCTTGATGGCTCCTTTTCCCAACCCCCTGAACAGGAATCTTTGCTGATACAGGAACTGCAGAGGTCCCAGCTCGCTTTCTGCTCCACTGGGGAGAAAGGTGGGGTATAAATGAATTAAATAAATATCACCTAGTAATGAGGTACCTTTTGGGACTGAGAGCCAGGATGCTTCCACTATGCCTGCTCTCAGGCCAATGGAGGCAGCAGCTATGAGTAAAGAGAGCCTGCTGCCCACATCTGAGGGCTGCTGGCCCGGTCCTTCTTGCTTGGGCAGTGATTGTCCTGCACAGCAGGCCAGGGAGAACACCAAACTGGGATGCTGGCCTGTTCCACCTAGGCTTGCCAACCTCCAGGTGGGGCCTGGAGATCTGCTGGAATTACAGCTGATCTCAGACAACAGAGATCAGCTCCCCTGGAGAAAACGATGGCTTTGGAAGGTGGACTCTATGGCATCACACCCCTGCTGAGCTCCTTCCCTTCCCCACGTACCATCCCCCAAATATCCAGGAATTTCCCAACCTAGAGTTGGCAACCATCCCCTCCCAGTTGCCACAGGGCCCGCCCGGGCTGTCTAGTTTGACTCAGAGACACCGGCCGTATCTAAAGGCTGCTGCTTGTCTTTAACAGCAGGCAAGCGCAGCACAAAGCGTCCTAGGCGCCGGCCTCCCCGCAAGCTCTAGTCTTTACCGGCCGCCCTCGCCCTCTCCGTTGTCCCCTGGCGAGTGCCCCCCGCCAGGCACGTCGGCACTGGAGTGCGTCCCGACAGGGCAGACCCGGAGCCTTCCTAAAGGGCCGCTCAGAAGCGTCGAGCCTGTTCCAGGGACAGGACGGTCACTCTGCGGGCCCTCGCACATGTAGCAGAAGCGCGCCGGCCGCCCCTCCAGCGCGCCCAGCCGGGCAGGTCCCCTCGTGGGCAGCGGCTCCGCCCTCCCGAGGGCCGGGCAGACAGAGGGCGCGGCCACTCTGACTCGGGCAGCCTGCAGGGCTGCAGGAAAGGCGAGAGCCGCAGCCGCCAGGAGTCGGGCACAAGCGGAGCGCCGACGGGGCGCGGCAGGTGGGCGAGGCGTCGCGGGGGAAGGAGCCCCTTCGCCGTCCTTGGCTCCCCCGGCCCGGGGCCAGGGTATGGGCTATTGGGGAGGGAAGGCGCTTTACGACTCGTCGAAAGTTTTTCCCGGGCCGCCGTGTCCCGGTCTCCCACCTCGCAGGGCTTGGGTCCGCTCTTCGGCAGAAAGCAGCGGGGCCAGGCAATGGAGGGGGCCAGCTGGGAGCCAGGTCTCCTGCTAGGCGCGGAAGCAAAATAGCTGGGGGCGGGGGGACTGGGAGGCAGGATTCCTTCTTGGTGGCAGGACACTCGGGGGGGGGGGGTCCCCCCGCT